GTGTATGTATTGATTTTGTGTTGTCACCTGACTGGATTCATCTTTTCTAGCCGTTTGCCTTTTCTGGTGGAGCGATGCTTCCTGGCCAGGGATTGCACTCAGGCCACACTGGCCTCCGACAGCTTCATATAACCGAGACGAATCCCTGTGCCCCCAGGAAGGACAGAGTCTTCCTTTGTGGGCTACTGCTCACTGACGGGATTCCCGGGTTGTGTCACAGAACCCTGCCCTTTGGGCCACAGTGGGGCGGGGGGGGCAGAGCCAGGGGCCGCATGCCACGGCCCAGGGAGTGGCTCATGGCAGAGGCCTGCCCAGCAGGCTCCGTGTCGGGGCTGCATCCTGCACCGTGCAGTCACTCACACTCCTTCCGATATGTTCATGTGACTCAATATTAAGGCAATGGAAAGGCCTCCCTGTGGTGCCAGTGGTTAAGCACTATGAGGCAATCTGCAGCCTCAGCAGCACAAGTTCCATTCCCCTGGCCGGCAAGGGAGGTAATCCACTTGGTGCTGCAGACCTCTCCTGAGCCGCCCACTGTTCCCCTCAGCAGTGCATTTTAGTCAGTCTGTCTGTTCTGTTCCTTACTCTGTCTCCGGTGAATCCTCTCACCCCCACACCTCTAGCCTGCACCCCAGCTCTTGGATGCATAAATAAATCTTTAAAAAAAATATCTCCACTCCACACAGGGCCCTACAGGACATGCAGATGCTGGGACTCAAAAGTGCAAACGCTTCCCACAGCCCCTGCCCTCCACTCCCCACTGCCATGTCCTCCACGAGGGCGTCCTCTGCTCCGTCTCCAAGGCGGGTCCGAATCTATCCACTGAGCTGCATCCTCACCACCACCTCGTTGCAGGCGTGCCCTCTCTCACCTGGCTTGTTGCAGCAGCCTCCTAACAGATCTTATTTTATGTGTCCTTCCTAGAACATTCTGGACACAACATTCCTGGAGGCTCCTCCTGGCTCCACACTGCGCCGACCCGGCAGGTCCAGGTATGGAGACGCATGTCAACAAAGGGTTTTGGGTCCGACAGTACGAAGACGCACCCCTAAGCTCCGGTTAAGGGCTCCCACTTTGCTGGCGCGTGTCCCCCAGGCAGGACAGTGACGTCCTTTAGGCCTCGTTCCCTCGTTCCCTTCTCCTTCCGGGGCACCTGCCCTTGGGCTGTTAGGGTTCCCCGAGATGCCCATAAGGGCCTTGGGCTGGACCCTGCCGGTCGGTCAGTGGCGCTGCTTGTCTGAGTCACTGGGACGGCTCAAGTATTTATCCATTTGTGAAAAAAACTTACATCCTCACCTCAAACTATTCAAAAAAGTCTGGAAGGGCCAAGCCCCTAAACGCAAGGCTGGGACTTAGGCAGCGGCTCTGGAACGGAGCACCTGAGGGTGGGGGGTGGGGGGAGCCCAAGAAATCAGAGCTTGGGCCTCCCCTGGTGGTGCAGTGGTTGAGCGCTGGGCTGCAAAGCTGCCCGCAGCCTCTGCAGCACTGGTTCGCTCCCCAGCCACCAGCGAGGGTCCCACATGGCGTGCAGCCCTCTCCTGCTGTGCCTCCCCTCAGCAGTGTATTTCATTAGTATGTCTGTTCTGTTCCCCGCTCTGGCTCTGGTGAATTCTCTCACACTCCCACGCTTCTGACTGTACCCAGTACTTGTATAAATAAATAAATCTTTAAAAAAAAAAAAAAGAAAGAAATCAGAGCTTGGCCTAGGCCAAGGCCCCAGACCCAAGCCCTGTGGGGGCGGCAGGCCAGGGAGGGGGGCGTGAGGGGCGGGGACACGGGAGGGAGCGCGCGCTCCACTTCCCCGTCACGAGGAAAGGGGGGCTTTCCCCCCACAGATGGCTTTGTGGGACTCTGGCAGCGCTGGAAGGAAGGGCGGTGACAGGCACGCTTCAGGTCCCAGCTCCATGGCTCTCGCTTTCCTGGCGCGGGGCACGCGGTGGGCGTGCTGCCCCCCCGCCCCCCCCAACCTGCCCCCGCCCCGCCATCAGGTCGGGAAACTGAGGCACGGAGAGATGACACGCCCGGGGAGGGCGCAGTAGTAACAATGGGCGAAGGGGCCCCTGGCCCTGCAGTCTGTCCCCCTTGCGGGCCCGCCTGCCACACCCCTGCTCCTGTCCCCTCCCCCCCCAGCTGCGGACCCCAGAGTCGCCCAGGAGGCCCCTGCGGGCGTCCACGCGCGGTCCTGGCGCCACGCCCCGGTGTGGCCCCCTCCCAGGGACCCGGGCGGGGACAGCGCCCCCTCCCTGCTGCCGGGGCCTCTCTCCCCGCCCACCCGCGCCTCCCCCGCGCCTGCGCCCCCGCAGAACCCGGCCTGGGTCTGGCTGGAGAGGGTGAGTCTTCCCGGGGACCCGCGGGCGGCGGGAGGTGCCAGGATGGGTGGGGGGGGCGCGCGGGGCCACGACTCCGGTGGCGGGAAAGCCGGACCCCTCTCTCCCCACGGGGAGCTGAGCCCCACCCGCCCCCAGCCGAGTCCCCGGGACAGGCTCTGTCAGGCCGCATGGAGCTCAAGTGAGTTTCCTGCGCCCGGTGACTGGGGAGAGGCCTTCGGGCGGGGAGCAGAACACCGCGTTGAGAGTGGGGGCACTGGGCAGCCTCGGGGTAGGGGGTGTGGGGGGCGGCGACAGGTGGAGCGCAGTCTGGAAGGGCTCGAAGCAGAGATGACAGGACGTTGCGGGGAGCTTTTGGCGTGGGGTGGAGGGATTTTGGGCTACTAGGGCTCCGTAAATGACAAGAGGCCCATGCCATCCCTGGGGAGAGGCGGGAGCCAGACGGAGCTCAGGAGAGGATTGGGTGGACAAACCTGGGGTCAGACCGGCCTCTAGCCCCGCGACCCTTGCTAGTGGGGAACATGCAGAGCAGCCTCTCAGGGACAGTCTCCCCTTCCCTCTGCCAGGACGCCGGCGATAGGGTGACCCTCGGCCCCCCCAGGCAGTGTGGGTGTGGCAGGACCGTGTGACTCTGCCTTCTGCCAGGCACCCTGGACACAGCTTGTGTATTTATCTGTCACCCGGTCGCATCCCCCTGAAATCACAACAGCTCCGCACGTGCCAGGCCGAGCCATTCCTGGGCCTAATCCTCGTCCTGCAAGTGGGGGCCCCCCCAGCCGTTGTCACCCCCTCTTCTGTCTCAGGGCTTCCTGGAGTGGCCCAGAGCACCCCAGCAGACGACCATCGTCCTGGTGGTGTGTGTGCTCTCCCTGTTCTGGTGTTGACCAGGATGCCCTTGGCGCTTTTCCTCTGACCATGGTGTCACTGCCGCCAAGGGTTCTGTGTGTTGGGGAGGAAGTGACCGGGCTGGCAGCAGGACAGGCCACTGAGGCTGACCAAGTGCCCTCCCAGCACCCGGGACTTTACTTTTGTTGCATTTAACCTTTTGGGGAGGCTTTGCACCCATGTCCCTGAACGAAGGCATCCTCGATACAAATGTTTTCTATCCCATCAGGAGGCGGGCAGGGATTCGCCCGTGCCCCCAGCTGGAGGTGCAGCCGGACCTCACAGAAGGTAGAAGGAGGCAGCTCTGGGGGTGGACAGTGCTAGTAGCTTCCTGACCTGTGTCCTTGGGTTGTAGGATATTTCTCCAGATACTGAACCCCCGTATTGTTTCCGGAGGAGTCTCTTGTCTGTTGAGTTCGGGGTCGTGTGAGGACTCACTCACCCTTTTATCTGCTTGTAAAGAGTGGGTTCCTTGACATTTGGAAAGAGGCCTCCATTGAGGGATCACGTCCTGGAGCCAGCGGGGGCCGACTCTTGGCTCCGTTGTTTTTTAGTCATCCTCATGATGGATTTTGTTGCTAGAAAATCCTCCCACTCAGCTGTTCCCATGTTTGCCTTCATTTTACCATGTTACCCTTCCATTTTTGGTCGATTTGTAAGTGTTGGATTAGTTGACTCTTGCTTCTCCAAAGAAATAGCATGGGGATGGATTTACATCCATTTCCCTCTAGCTTTGGGATGTTTCCCATTATTAGCTCTTGGGTTTGAAAAAATGTGTTTCTACTCCGCATGTCAATGTGGAGGATGAATCCTTTGTGTTCTCTGACTACAAATTATCCAGTGGTAGAAGCAGCCTCGGCAGCTTCCTGAAGTTGGATGCCCCGTGTTTTTTATGTCACACCGTCCTGTGTCTAACTCATAATGGCTGGACTGACTCAAAAAGTCATTTTCTTGATTTCCGGCTCTGTGAGGGAAGGTGGCCTCTCCGCTTTCCCAAGCTTTCTGGAAGCCTTGGTCATGGCCTGCCTGGATCATGACCTGTGTGTGTGTGTGTGTGTGTGTGTGTGTCATGGACATTTGAGGCTGATTTTCCATTTGTAGAATCCCAGTTGGCTTATGACACTGTGCACGCCTTATTTTGGCCCGCCCCTGTCCCAAGCCCATGAAGGTTATGGGGAAAACCTGCGAGGATGAGTCTATTTTTCTAATTTTTGCTCTCTGAGTGCAGCAGCTGTGACTGGACGTGGAAATAGAGCGTCACTCTGCCGAGAATATGGGATTCACGCAAGAAACCCCAAATAACTGGTGAAAGTGAGTCCCTTCATATCACTTGACGGGCATTCCAAGGCCTTTTAATGCTATGCTAGAGGAATGAAGACATGCAGGTTTGAAATGGGGGGGTCTCTCCCCATCATGCTCCTGGGGTGCAGTCACTCCAACAAAAAGGGGCATCTGAAGGGAAAGGACACAGATCTGAATAGGGTCACTGTATCCGAGTGGCATAGCGTCCTGTCCCACCCCGCCCTCTCCTGTCCAGTCCTGGCGTCCTGCCCCCCCTCTCCTGTAGCTCCTGCCCCGCCCCGCCCCGCCCAGTCTGGCCTTGCCCTGCAGCATCGCATTGCTTCGCGCCCTGCCGTGCCAGGTGCCCTGTCGCACTCCGCCTCATCCGCAGCACCAGCTGGTGGCGGGCAGCAACGGGCCATCAAGTCGACCCACCTGAATGCCTGCGGGCCCCGGGCCGGCCAACTGGTAGACCTCAGCAGGGCGCAGCAGCAGCCACGGCTCCCTCCCCACCGGCAACCCAGGGAGGAGGAGGGGCCGGGGACCCAAGCAGCCACGTGTAGGTTCCCTCAGGAACCGACACACCTGGCTGCCTGCGCCCACACCCCACTCCCTCGGGGGCGTCTCCTGCCATCCAGGAAGGAGCAAAGACACCCCGGAGCTGCAGCGGGAGGATGGGGGCATTCCTAGCGAGCAGCCCCTGCCAGGGGCTGAAGGCAAGCCCTCGCCGCACCGGGGTGGATCCTTGTTTCCTCATGGGCACCTGTGCACAGGCTCCCCTCACACTGAGCAGGGTTACCCTCCCCCCCCAGCTTCAGGGGCTCCAGGGTTTAACAGCCAACTCACAAGAGCGGCGTGTGTCCCAGCGTAGACCTCAGGCGTGCCTGTGGTCCAGAGCGCTCCAGGCACAAACACACCTTGGCCATAACACACACAAGTCCAGGGCCCACTCTGCCAAGTGTGGTGGGGCACCTCGCCAACAGGGGGTACAGCCAAAGCCCCCTGGTAGCATAGGCACAGGCAGCAACCCCCAGCCACATGTTGCTCTTTGGAGTGAGGCATCAGGACAGGGGGAACCTAGGGAATCAGGCCCCCTCAACAGGAACACATGAGGGGAACAGGCCCCAAGCCACTGGGGCAATGCCACGGAGGCCTCAGGCAGGAGCTCTGAGGCATGGAAGCCCCCCTCCAACCCCAGATAGCCCAAGCCCCCATCTCTTCCCAGCCCTGCTACACCACAGTCACAGCCCAGGGAACAGCCCCCCACACCATGGGCTTGGGTACGAGGCCTGGCCTCACCACAGCTCGGGGCTCAGGGGAGCCAGTTCTGCACCTGCCTTTGTGCTTGAGAACACCATGTAGCCCCACAGGGGCCACCCCAGACAGCACACCCTCTTAAGAGGGGTGGTGGTTTGGGCTGCAGCTCAGGCCCCAGCAGCTTGGGACAACATGAGGCCCCTTTGCTGCATTCCAGGCAGGAGCCCATGGCTCACTTAGTATTGACCAGGCCCCCCACCTGTGGGGCACAGTGTAGGCACAACCCACTGCATCCGCAACCAGGTCTTGGGGAGCCTGCAGGCAACATGGAGAGCTGTCCCGTAAGCACCCTACCCCAGTGCTGCTCCCAGACCAAAGCACTCACCCACAGTCCCCGTGGCCTCTCAGAGCCACCTGGACCACGCTTGCCGTGGTGCTTGTTCCCCACTTGCCACGAGCCCATCTGCCCTGGCACAATCTCACCTCACTGATGAGCAGAGGCAACCCCCACAGGGAGCACACAGGCATAGCAGAGTCAGCCCAGCCCACACCGTTGGTTGAGGTCAGGGTTATCATAGTGAGTAAAAAGGACACTTTCTAAGGTGCCATAGGAGATGCAAGGGTGGTGGCAGAGGAGCCACCACCCCTCAGAGCCCACCACTGACAGCCCAGGCCATGGCCCCCAGGCCCCCTCAACATGGGCAAGGCACCCCTGCCACCACTGCAATGGGGCTGAAGCTAAACACTCTTCCAGGGGCACTCCAGTAAGGGCAGCACAACCCTGGGGTACACAGCACCAGGGGACAGAGCCACTGAGCTGGATGGAGCCAAGTCCGGGCATAAGCCCTCCATGATCCCAGGTGCCCTCTCGTGGAGGCTGCCCCAACACTGGCCCTGCAGGCACAAGCAAGGGCTCCCACAGCCACCCCCCTGGATGGCCAGACTCTAAAGGCAGTTGGAGCCTGAAGCTGGCCCCAGAACCTCTGGGGCATTGCCTGTCATGGCCCTCCACTTTCTTGAGAGCCGGAATCCCATGTCCAAGCTGCGGCACTCACAGGGGGCAAGATGCCACCCCAGGGGCCCTTGTACACAGGGCTCAGCCAGCACTTGATGTGCATCAGGGAGGAGGAACAGCCACGTGGGGGCTCAGAGCTTTCTCTTCCTCTTTACCAAACAGCCCCCACCATGTGACAGCAGCACTGACCCATGCACACAAGGCAGGGTTCAGCACACAGCCAACTGCTTGGACAACAGCCTTTGGCAGTTCAGGCACCCCCACTGCCCACCCAAACTCAGGGAGGCTGCAAACCTCAGTAACGGGGGCAGTGACCCATCAGGCAACACAACACTCAGTCACCATGAGCTGGATCTCCACCTGCCCACCAGGGGCACCTCCCCTATAGGGCCCAGCTGGAGGGCTCTGCTCTCCAACCAGCCACACAGGACCCAAAGGGCCCCAGCTCCTGGGGTAAGCAGTACCATGTGGGAGATGGCTGCTGCTGACCACCACCCAGAACTCCAGTCCTCTGACACTGGCAGGCAACACAGGGACAGCCAACCCCAGGCCCCCATGGACCTCCAATTACCACCTTCGCTGGATCTACGGTGACATTATAACTCCTATGGGACTGCGGTGGCCTGGGCACTGCCCACAGGCAGGCACTCCTGGAGCCCCACCAGCACCAGCTGCCCCCACAGGCCTCTCTTGCACACTGGAGCTGGCAACGTGGGGCTCCTCCTTTCTCTAGCATCTCCTCCTCCAGCAGCATCATCTCCTTCCTCCTTTGTGTGGACAAAGGCTGCCCTCTAGCCCCAAAACAGCCCCATGGGCCCAGGTGGCTCAACACACTGGCTCTTTCCAAACTGAGGGCTCCAGGTAGCAGGACACCCAACTGAGGGTACCAGGCAGTATCCACCAGCCACACCAACCATGAGCTGCCCAGCTAGCAGCCACAGGTACCCACAGCCTGAGTCAGGCCAAAAAGACTGATCCCCAGCACAAGACTCACCTCAGGTCCCCCTACAGCTTGAGTGCTCGGTGAACATCAGTTGTAGAACACAGGGGCCCTGTCACTGCATCCCAGGTGGATAGTGGCCTTGGGAGGGAGCCCAGAGACCCTGGCACAGTGTAAGCCAAGAGCCAGGTGCCTGGTGGTGGCCAGGGCAGCACAGAGCACGGCCAGAGAAGACCGAGACAAGAAAGGCCACAGAGGCTTGGAGGGCCCAACTCTCAGGCTGTCTATGCACAGCGGGGTCAGCTCATGACACTGGCAACTGCATGACTGACCCTCCAGGAGGGGAGGGCAAGCTCCCTAAGGAGACACACACCACTGAGGGGTGCAGCTGTGGACACACAGTCAACCCCAACTTGGTCTGGGGCCAGCACCACAGCAGGGGGGCCACAGGGACACAAGGCCAGGGCAGCACCCGCTGCTCCTTTCAGGGCATCAGGACAGCGAGGCACACTGGGGGCCAGGCCCTGTAGACAAGCAAACTGTAGCACAGAAGAGGAGCAAGTCCTGAGCCACTGAGGCACACAGCAGAGGCCACAGTCAGGGGCTGAGGGCCCTGGAGCACACGGAGGCTTCGCCACAGAAAACATGCACCCACCAGGACACCCGCCTCCTCCCAGCCCGAGCTGCACATTCACAGCATGGGGAGCAGCCATCAGCATGGGTGTTGGCGCAAGGTCTGACCCAGTAGCAGCCTCAGGCCGGGGGCATTTTCTCTACATCCCGCTCAGTGGCTCTGTCCCCTGGTGCTGTGTACCCCAGGTTTAATGATACATGCAGTGATACATACCAGGATATGTAGTGAAGAGCCAAGAAAAAATGGGTGACAGCCATATAGGGGCTTCTTTATGGACGAAGATCATGAGATGATGTGACTTTACATTCCTTGACCTATTTAATGGAAGCTCATTTTATAATTATCAAGCTACTGCCCACCTTCTACACAGGCAAGTGCCAATATAGGGGAAAAACTAGGAAGGAAATGTACTAAGTCATAAGAATACTTTTTGATACTGTTCATCCTATTTTATTCTACTCTTCACATTTTCTATAATATACACAACTCCCTATCATTATCAGGACCAGTAACAGAAGCTGATGGAAACTCCATTGGTAAAATGACCTCCTTGTTCCTTGGCAGGGTAAAGTAATTTTTTAAAAGGCTGAAGAATTCCATGTAGTTACAGAAAAACATTTTAGGATGAAACATGGTCTCCCGCTAGTCACACAGGCAAGGGCAGAGCAGCAGTGTTGGGAGTTCATGTCAAGGTCACCTCATTTTTTTTCTTAGTGAGGGTGTCTGGCTTTCTAGCCTGAACCTGTGCTCCGGCTAGCTTTTCAACCCAAATAAACAACTTTTGCCCCTATTCTTCATTTTTAAATTTAGAAATTTATTCTGTTTAATCCACAGCTGTATATAGCTTCAATTAAAAATAAAAATGAAAACAAGACACTCCTTCAAAGTCTGAGCCCTTCCAGCTTACAAATACAAGAAAGTTGTCTACACCTACGAGAGATGCAGGAAAAATAATGAATGGGGCCAGGATATTTCATAAAACAAAATTTTGTATAACAAAGCTTCTCCCTGTGACTCGTTCATTGCCTTTACAACAAAAAGGGAAAAAAAAGAATAGAAGAGAGGGACCTCCCTGTGGGCGCGAGGGGTTAGGACGCTGCACTATAAAGCACCAGCACCAGCAGCATGAGTACCATCCCTGTCCAGGGAGCTGACCCACATGGTGCAGCAGATATCTCCTGTCTCCCCGCTGCTCCCCTCAGCAGTGTGTTTCAGTCAGTCTGCCTGTTCTGCCCCCCACTCTGTCTCTGGTGAATCCTCTCAAACACAACCCCCATCTCTGGCTTACAACCCAGTTCTTGAGTGCATAAATAATCTTTTAAGATTTATTTATTTATGCACACAAGAACTGGGGTACAGGCCAGAGATGTGGGGGGTGAGAGGATTCACCAGAGACAGAGTGGGGAACAGAACAGGGAGATCTACTGAAATACATTGCTGAGGGGAGCAGCGGGCATTACACAAGAGGTTTGCTGCGCCACGTGGGACCCACTCCGGCCAGCCGGATCAAATGGGTGCTGCAGAGGCTGCAGACAGCTTCACAGCACTGCGCTTAACCACCTACAACCACCTATGCCACCAGGAGAGGTCCTGTTTTAAATATAATTCTTAACACACCTCGCTTTATTTGCATTGAGTTAGGACCTTCTACCTTTTGATTTTTAGATTGTAAGAGGTTATGGAAAAATTTCATCTTTATTTATCCCGCAGGCCCAGAGGTGATCTTTTTCCAAAGTCTGAGCCCTGAGCCATTGGGTGACAGAGCACCCATGGCCCCAGAAGGGGCACATTTACAACTTGAAGCAAGCAGGGAGTAGAGAAGCAGGAGACTTCTAAGAGCTCACCTGGTCATCTGAGGAGCACAAGTCAGGCTCCTGGCCAGTCACTCCCTGAAACTTTTAGTCCACCCCCAGGCCTTGTCCCAACATAACTCCGAGGCAGGAGGCACAGGTGGGTCTGTTGCAGGCTCGGAGACTCCCAGCCTTTCACTGACAGTGTCTGCTGCAGCCAGACCCTAAAATATCCCCAAGTCATTAAAACAGCAAACAAGGTTGCTTGAATTTTGGGGAAAGATTTTTTTTTTAATCGTTGTTAAAAATCCCCTTACCTGAAGCTGACATAAAAGCAAGGCATGGGGCCTCCCTGATGGTGCAGGGGTTAAGCACCGCACTGAGGCCATCCACAGCCTCTGCAGCTCGAGTTCCATCTGATGGAAAGACTGGAAAGGAGGCCTCATGCGACTAAAACCTGACTCACGCAAGGAGGTGGGGTTCGAGGGGAATAACAAGACCATTAACCCAGCTGTGGAGGTCAGACCCTTAGGCGCCAGTGCCTAGTCACAGGGCAGGACACCCTAGCAGGATCTGAAGCTCTAGGGAGTGGCACACAGGCCTGAGGGGAAGGATATGGAGATTGGGCCCACCCTGGAATCTCTGGTCCCTTTCTAGTGTTGCCTGTTACCTGACATCAGCAACAAACAGCCACTCTATGGAGGGGAGACCCTCCCAAACAGAAAAGGACTGTATCAGAGCAGTCTCTGCACGGGCTCGGGGCAGCCATCCCTCTGCCCACCCGTGACTATGCAGGTGCCTCTTCTCATCAACTCTCTCCCTCTGTAGGGCAGTAGCCTCCTGCCTGCTGTGATCTGTCAAGGCCGCCCGCCTGCAACCATGCAGGCCTCTCTCAGCAAAACCTGTCCCTTTCCCTTTCCCTAATAAATCTGCCCTGTTTTTTGTGGGACCCTCGCCAGCGGCCGGGGAATGAACAGGCACTGCAGAGGCTGCAGGCAGCACCACGGCCCAGCGCTCAACCACTGCGCCACCAGGGAAGGCCCTAAATCTGCCCTTTAATGTAACTAGTGTCTCTGTCTCGTGGAGAAACATGGCTGGGGAACTCGTTGTGTCCCGCTGGAACGGGAGCTCTGGGGGCACCTTTCCCAGAGTGACCCCCAGGACCCACACGCACTCTACAACCTACAACATTTTGGCGACCGTGAAGGGACTCGTCACATGATCTGGTGCCAACATCACATCCCCAGGTGGGAAGGTGACCCATAGGGCGCCGCAGACCTCTCCTGTCTCCCCGCTGCTCCCCTCAGCAGTGGATTTCAGGCAGTTCACCTGCTCTGTTCCCCGCGCTGTCTCTGGTGAATCCCCTTGCCCCCACCCCTGCACCTCTGGCTGCACCCCAGCTCTTGTGTTCATAAGTAAAGAAATCTGTTTAAAAAATAAGTAAAAATTGGCCTTCTTGGTGGTGCAGGTGGTTGAGAGCCATGCTGTGAAGCTGTCCGCAGCCTCTGAAGCACTGGTTCAATCCTGGCCGGCCGGAGAGACTCCCACATGGCGCGGCAGACCTCTCCTGTCTTGCCTGCTGCTCCCCTCAGCAGTGTATATTTCGTCAGTCTGCCTGTTCTGTTCCCCGCTCTGTCTCCGGTGAATGCTCTCACCCTCCAGTGCATCTGGCCTGTACCCTGGTTCTTGTATAAAAATAAATAAATCTTTAAAAAAAATAAGTAAAATAAAAGCATGACTAAAACATCATTTACCTGCAGATCCTGACATGGATCCTATTGCAAACATTACAAAGCAGCTGCTATTCAAAATATATTGTGAGAAAAATGAAGGCTCTCGGCTCCACATAGAATGTTTCTTGTTGCACATCATGGTGCAGCACAATATACTTTGGCCCAGACTCTGATATCCCTGAGTCTATTCCGTGGTTTGGTGTAATACACAGCCTTCAGCCGGGAGCCTGTGTTTATTTTGGGGGGTCAGACGGGTCTCCTGGGGACTGTGCAATCTTGGGTTTTGTTTCCTGAACCGAGGCTGGCCTCTCTCTGCCTTTGGATTGGTGAGCTCTATAGAGGATCTTCTACTGCCACTTTCACTTTAGTTTTCTGGTTCTATTTCCCTGCTCAGCTTTTTCTTTTTTTCTTTTCTCTTCAAATTATACAGGGGATCTCCTGTTAACATTTCTTTCAGGGAAGATTTGTTAGTGGACCACTTCTTCAGCTTTTGTTTGTCTGGGCAGAACATTTTTACTCTCTTGTCTCTGTAGGAGAATCCTGCAGGTTAGGATATTTGTGACCTGTATATTTTATCTCTATTCTGAATACGTTATTTCATCCTCTCCTTGCACTACAGTCCTCCAGAAATGTAAGTTGGGTCCATCCCCACATATGCACGGTCCATGACAGAAACTTGTTAAGAGGTGCTAGGATCTGGACCTCATCCTGGTGTGGTTACCTGAGCGTTCTGAAAGGATAACTCTACAAGACTTTCCATGAAAACCAGCATCAGGAACATCATTGGTACACTCTACCTATAGACTAGAGAGAGAGAGAGAGAAATTGGAGAAAGATGAAAATTTCCATAGAAAGCAGTCCAATAAATCCAGAAAAGAAGAAAAGTATTATATAAGGAAAAGAGAGCCAAGATCACCCATCTTCTGGGACACAAGGACCATAGGGAAAGCTTTTGGTATGGGGACCTGGCAAGAGTTTTGTTTATTGTTGGAGTGCTATGCAAGAAATCCCAGGTCCAGACATGCAAATGATCCCTCTTACTTTCCTTTTGCTTTGTGAAATGAATGTGTATACTATTGTAAAATAGTCTCCTTTGTGGGCCCCCCTGGTGGCACAGCGGTTAAGCGCTGGGTTGCCAAGCTGCCCTCAGCCTCCACAGTGCTGGTTCGATCCCTGGCCACCGGGAGGGTTCCACATACTGCACAGACCTCTCCTGCCACCCGCTGCTCCCCTCAGCAGTGTACTTCCTCAGCCTGCCTGTTCTCCTCCCCGCTCTGGCTCTGGTGAATTCTCTCACCCTCCCGTGCTTCTGACTGTACCCAGTGCATGTATAAATAAATAAATAAATCTTAAAAAAAAATAATCTCCTTTGTACTCACTGAGTATTTCTGCTGGGAGAAAAAGATGAATACGTCAGGGGCTACCAGCAAACATTTCCATTTTAAAGCCATTTCAGTGACTCATACAGGGCTGCCACCATATAAGGCCAAATGTGGCATTTACTCTATGATGCTAATTAATTTCATGCATGTTTGCCTGGGGCATTATTTCACTTCCCTGGATGTTCCTATGAGATTCAGAATTGAGAGTATTATTCATTGTACACAAAAATATAAAGGGTCTTTATAAGGCAGTCAAATATAAATGACATTTTAGGCTATCATCACTGTGAATGTTACATGAATCTCAAAGTCAAAAATCTGTTCACCTTATTAATTCAAGCATTAATTCAAGCATTCATCTTAATTCAAACATTTTCTACATGGATATAGAATATTGAGTTCAATTCTTTCCTCTGTTTAGTGAGATGAGCTCTTTATGCTGACCTTGTTTTTGCAGATTTATTTCATTCTGTTGTTCCCAATATGAGTTAATTTGCATTTGGGGGCTTTATATGTACCTAGTTGGCCAGAAAATTGAGCAGGCAAAATATAAACAGACCAAAAAAACCCCACAAAACCTGCAACAAAAACACCCTCTTACGTTCAGAACAATTGAATAGCAATATTTCTCTATATTAAAGACAAGAAGCTACCTATAAATCCTTTTTCAATTCCATAATAGTTACAGCCTGAAATTAGTGATGCAAACGTAGCTTTCCCAGTTCCTGTGCAGTTATGAGTGATCATGTGACTCGTTCTTCCCAATACAAAGTGAACAAATGTGACAGATGTTACCTCTGGACATGATAAGAAGCTCATGTTCCTTCTCAATGACCTCTTAGTCCACATCCAAAGAATTGATGTAATATACTATGATACTATCTAGGATAGTGGATCTGTGAGCCAGAGGTTGCTAGTATTCTTATAAGACCAAGCAGGAAAAAAATGGTTCAAGAGAACTGTTCTAAGAAGGAATTCATAAGAAAGAATTTTTTATTCTGTTGAACTGTTGCATTTGGATTTAATGATCACCACAATCTTGTGGGTCTTCACTAATCTTTACAATATATATACTCTCTGCTATTGCTTACAAATCTTTAAGATTTCCAGAGATCCCAGTCTATGTATCTCCCTAGGAGCTTCTGTAACTTCACCTACTTTTCAATCCAGTGCACATACTTTGTGGGTATTTCAATGTGTTAAAGACTTTACTTGGGGGGGGGCAGAATGTCATACATCTTGGTACGAAATGAAATTTTTACTGGAATGATAACTATGACATTAACAATGCATGGCGATAAGTAGTGATTTTACCACTTCTAAAAACAGAAATATATCTCCTTAAATTTAGCCAATATTATTTGTTGTGCCCATGAACATTATCCAACAGGTTTGATGACACCGCACTTCCTGCCTTCATATTCAGACAGTGAAAGCTGTTTCATGGGACAAGTGTTATAGATGAAAAGGAACAGGTAGGAAATAAAAGTGTAATGCAAATCTAGACCCATAGTTGGATAGTTGACAGATGCATGTCTGCAGGAAAAAAAAAGAGTCAATATTTTCTGTGAGGATAGATTGAAATGGGATTAAAGTACAGCTGGATTTTATCTGATGCTCCATAACAGTACACATTTCTCTCAGATGTAAAAGAAGTATCTGGATGAGTCTGACGACTTAGACTATTCAGTAATCACAAATTCTATCACTTTTCTTTGTATATAAATATTGATAATTTTATATATCTAATGTGGCATTTCAGAAATAAGAACGTGTTGCTCAGTACTGTTGAATAGATTCAGGTTTGCTCAATGATGCCTGTGTGATGACTTCTTTAAAACCTTACCAAAATGATGTAGCACAATTCGTGATATTTTTACTAGACTGAGAAAGATATGACCCCGTGATCCCAAGAACTGTGAATTTTGAATGGTACTCCACTCAGATTCTTCTAGAAATTTCCTAATTATGTTTATATATTACCTTGATCAATATGTTCTCAATGTTATTCAGAAGAAAATAGACCTTTTATTTACATATATATATATATAAAATACACTTTTCAAGAAACTATTAACCGTTCTTCCATCAACATTCAGTTAATCTTATTTATTAAATAAATTAAATCCCCAAATACTTTTTTTGGTTTTATGTTTGTCAGGCAGAATTGTATGTTCATTTTTATTATATTCCTATGCATAATGTGAAAGTTACTGGCAAAATGCAGAGGTAATTCACATGAGGAAAAGCTTTCTGGGCGGGGGGGGGGTGGAGCATGGGGTGAGGCATTCTTATTTAAAAAACACAAGAAACTCTTAGTGTCATCCTGCAAATGCTGTGAAAGCTAAAAACAAGGATTATGTTGCTATCCATTACTCTAAGGACAAAGACTGAAATTTAGCCTGGCCCACAAACCCTGGATCATCTGTACTCCATCCCCCTTCCTTTAAATAAACAGAAAGATATACCCAGCTCATGGGTTGGAGGAGTCAGCATTGTCAAAATGGCTATCCAACCCAAAGCAATTTAGAGATTCAATGCAATCCCAATAAAAATCCCAATGGCGTTCTTCAAAGAAATAGAACAAAGATTAATGAAGTTCATGAGAAAACACAAAAGACCCCAAGTAGCCAAAGCTTTCCTGATATCAAAGGGGGGAAATGAAGGTATCACACTTCTGATTTCCAACTATATGCTAAAGCCAGAGTAGTTAAAGCAGCATGGTAATGGAACAAAACCAGACACAGAAACTAATGGAACAGAATTGAGAGCCCAGAAACAAAACCACATTTATGGACAATTAACATACAAGACAGGAGCAAAGTCCATACACTTGAACAAGGAAAGCCTCTTCAATGAAGGGTGCTGGAAAAGTGGACTGCCGCATGTAAAATGATGAAACTAGATCATTACCTCACAGCACACATGAAAATCAATTCAAAATGGATAAAAGACTCGGATAGAAGACCTGAAACCATCAAACATATAGAGAAAAACCTATGTAAAACACTCCCTAACATCAATCTCAGAAACACACAAAGGAAAGAGGAAAAATGGATACTATATCAAACAGTTTTCTGAACGGCAAAAAAGACAGTGACCCAAACAAAGAGACACCGTCTGAATGGGAGAACACACCTGCACACCCTACCTCTGATGAAGAATTCACATCAAAGATCACAAAGTACCTATACAAATCAACAAAACGAAAACAACCGAATCAAAAATGGGAAAAGGATCTAAACAGTCACTTCCCTAAAGAAGACATGCAGATGGCCAACAGGCACATGAAAAAATTCTCCTTCTCATTTATCTTCAGGGCAATGCAAATCAAACCATCACGAGACACCACCTCACACCTGTGAGAATGGCCCACAGTTAAAAAAACACACAAACAGCAAGTGCTGCAGATGATGCGGAGAAAAGGACCCTCTTACGCTGTTGGTGGGCATGCGAACTAGTCCAGCCACTATGGAAAGAAGTGTGGAGATGCCTGAAAAGACTGAAAATGGATAAAAGACTAGCAGGTCCACACGACCTAGCAGGTCCACACCTCGGTATCTACCCAAACAGCACAAAAGAGGGGCCTTCCTGGTGTTGCAAGGGGTTAGTCTCAGCACTGTGAAGCTGTCCGCAGCCACTGCAGCACAAGTCACCCTGGCCTAGGAGGTGACCCACTAGGTACAGCGGACCTCTCCTCTCTCCCCGCAGCATTGCACTTGAGTAGACCCAGCTGCTCTGCTCCCCACTCTGTCTTGGTTTGTACTATCACCTGTGCCGTCCACACCTCTGGCCTGCACCCAAGCTGCTGTATGCATAAATAAATAAATCATACAAAAAAAAAAAAACAAAGAGCACAAATGCACTAATCTGAAAGGAAACCTGTGCTCCTATGCTCACTGCAGCACTATTTACACTAGCTAAGATGTGGAAACAACCTATATGCCGCAGGACAGATGTGGGGAACAGGATGGGGTCTGTAGGCACAACGGGACACTACTCTGCGATAGAAAAATGAGAAACTCAAGCCGATTGCAGCAACATGGATGGAGCTGAAGGGATGCCTCTAAGCAAAGTGAACCAGAAGGAGAAAGATAAACACCGGATGGTCTCACTTACATGTGGAGTCTAGACAAACCAAGCACAGAATCAGACAGAGACAAACTGTAAATGGACCCCTGACAACACACTGTGAGTCTGAGACTCTCAGGACCGTTAGGGGGAGGGGGAAGAAAGGGCGACAGTACAGAAGTGGGGGCAGGAGGAACGAAGGAAGGTGGGGCTAGCAAGGAAAGGAGGACAGGAGGACACTTTTCAAAGAGCACACAGATCATCCTCTAGGATCAGTCACGTACTGGGTCACAAGACAAACAGCAACAAGCACATGAAGACTGAAATCATACCAGGGTGTTCTCTGACCATAATGGCATCAAGGTAGAAGTCAACTATGCAATGAGCATGGAACCCCCACTCTACATGCAATGGAACAACACGCAACTGAGCGACCACTGCATTCATGATGACATCAAAGAAAAAATTAAAAAGGGTCTTGAATGACTGAAAATGAGGAAATAACTTTTCAGAAGGTCTGGGGAACAGCAAAAGCAGTATTAAGAGGAAAGTATAGAATAACTCAGGCCCACATCAAGAAACAAGAAAAACAAACAAACAAAAAAATAACCTGATCTCCCATCTCGAAGAACCAGAAAAAGAACAACAACAACAACAACAACAAAAAAAAACCCAAAAGGCAGTAGGAGAAGGGGAATAACAAAAAAATAAAGCAGAACTAACTGAAATAGAAATAAAAGACAGTCCAACAGATCCATGAAACCAAAAGCTGGTTCCCTGAAAATATAAGTAAAACGTACTAACCTCCAGCAAGACTCACAAAGAAAAAAGGGAGAACAATCAAATAAACAGGACCAAAAATGAAAGAGAAGAAATCAAAACAGACACAGCAGACAGGAACTGTGGTCAAGAAAAAGACACATCCTGGGTCACAGAGAAACACAATCCAAGATCACGACGCACGTCTATATGCAGACAAGGTCAACCATCTGGATGAGATGGACAAATTCTGAAGCTAACAAACAGTGGCACCCAGCATCTGGGAAGTGGCCCACCCGTGTATGAAGACAACTTGGAAGTGGGCTTGGAGACCTCTACTCAAGGGAAAACCATCAGTGGGTTGGAGGTGAGGAGGGTGGGACACACTTCCTGAGAAACTGTGGCCAAAAACAAGGTATACAGAGAGATGGAAGTGGAGGTACTGACATAGAGCATGACTAGCCGGGATCCCCAATACCCGACATTATCTTAAAGATCAAGGACCAGGGAAATAAGCACAGGCCAGGGCTGCATGGTGCCTGGGGACCGGCTGCTTGGACGAGCTGCCCTTCCGGTGAAGCACTGACTCATGGCAACAGGAGCACCCCGACTGACCTGACACCCTGGGCAGGCTGGCTCCATCCTGGGCTAGAGGATTTCTTCAACACAAAGAGGTGACAAGTACTTGGTCTTTCTTTTATTAAAATAATTTACTTTCTGCTCCCTGGCATTACTAATAAAATATCTTAAATGAAAAAAAAGATCAAATGTCAGCATCAAGTAACAGTAAAAAAAATCAAGTTTCGGGCCTCCTTGGTGGCCTAGGGGTTAAGCCTCAGCGCTCCCACTGCAATGGCCCACGCGATGGCCTGAGTCCTGTCCCCGGCCAGGGAGCTGACTTCATGGTGCAGTCTGACCTCTGCTCCCCTCAGCAGAGTATTTTGACGGATCACCTTTTTTGCTCCCCACTCTGGGGAATCCTCTCACCCCAAACTCTGGCCTACACCCCAGTTCTGTATGCATTAATAAATAAAACCACATCTTTAAAAAAACTCAAGCTTGAAGGGGAGTTGGGGTGTCGGGGGGATATACTCACTGGGCAGCAGGCTGAGCACTCAATAGGGCCGGGGCCGCCAGGCCCAGCACAGGAAGGTGAGGGGCACGGGGCCTCCCCTCTTCACCAGGTAAGGACAGTGGAGGGCACAAATCACGGGGAGCTTACGGGTTAGATTTCAACCTGCTGCTTAACAGAGGCTGGGCTGACACCACGGGCGTATGCATTCGGGTGCGGGGCATGAGCCCCTGTGGGCCGCGGGGATGACATTCGGGCTCTACAAGGGCCCCTTTGACAGGAGGACTCTATTTACTGGGTGTTTCTGGAATCAGATGGGGGGCTCTGGCGGGCGGGCGGCGGTTGCCCTTTTGCAAGACACATCCCAGGAATACAGGGACACCCCGTCTTGGCAGAGGCTCCGGGGTCTCACCTGCGTGCGCTGCCCGACGTCTCCATCCATCTCAGAGGTGGCGGCTCCTCGCAGCGCTTCCCGCGCCCCCAGCGCTGGCCCCCAGTCCTCTGCCCCGTCCGCAGTGAAGATGTTACTGAGGAGGGGCCGAGGCCATGTTGGCGCCACTGTTTTCCTGGGTCTCCCCGGGGGTGCGAGGGGGAGTCCACGCTGGCCCATATGTGCTTCCCCCCACTCACTGGCCTTTATCACAGGTGTCCGTCAGGACCCACAGGGCGGCGGGGATCACTGTCCCTCCGTCCAGGGTCCGGGCGCGCCTGGGGAGCCTCCAATGTGCGCCAGCAGGGGTCACGGGCCGGCCTGAAGGAAGGGGGGGGAAGAGCCTCACCCGTGCGGGGATCCAGGCGAGGCCATGGCCAGCAGACCCAACCCCCAGCAGACCCAACCCCCGAGCTCCTCTCAGCCCCCTCCCAGCTCAGCGCCCCTTACGGGGGCGTGGCAGGGGCCTGGACCCCCCTTTGCAATCAGGGCACCGAATGTCCCGGCCATCGCGCCAGCCAGGAGACGCGGGTGCGGCTAGAAGCCAGGGGGACGCGGCGGCCCGGCCTCCCCCACGCCCCACCCCCAGCCAGCAGCCCAGGTCAGGGTTGGGGCGCTGGGCGCAGAGAGCACCCCCTGCCCCGTTCCACTGGCTCCGGGGCCCCGCGCTTCTTGGAAGGGACACGGCCCGCCCGGTCCTTGGGGAGACCCGCGCACGCAGGGCGTGGGGGGACGGCGCCGCCCGCTGATGGGACGCGCCCGCGCCCCTCGGCCCGACCCGCCTGCACTGCCATTACACTCTCCGGGCGCAGAGTCACGCCTCCCCGCCAGGGGGAGCCCCTCCGCTCCCCCAGGACCCTCCAGCGTCCCTCTGCCTGTTCGTGGGCCCCCGGCTAAGGGCTGCGCCTCATCACCCGGACACGCGGGATCCTCACCCGCTCCCGGGGGTCTCCGTGCTAGGCAACAGGGCCACGCATAAAGATTTTTATCCGTATTTCAGCATTTCCTCAGGTCATTTCCTGAAAATATAGAATTACTACAAAAGGCAGCAGAGACCGCCTAAGCCTACAGTTCTCTGTGGAATGGTGGAGCAGTGATTCTCTCCTCAGGAGTGAACGAGAGTCCATCCTTCCCCTCACCCTTGCCAGCGTTTCCTTCTGTCTACCAGTCAGTCTTGTCACGATTCTGATGCGACCTTTGCAGTAGAACCAAGGACACAAAAAGCTCCATTATGTATAAGCAATAAATACTTTAGACTCTCAAAAAGGAACATCAGCTCGGCAGTACTAGCAAATGAAGAAATTAAACTACCTCAAGTTTAGGAAGTAAAATAAAAGGGGAAACGAAATAAAAAGCAGCTGTTTTCCCTAATCATCAGGAAATTTTAATGCCACAGGTATCTATCTGTTGATGCACTATATGTATACATCTCTCTCTCTCTCTCTCTCTCTCACACACACACACACACACACACACCCTTTCCTCTGTCTCCAACAATTAGTTTTCACCATATTCCAGTCACTACTGCCACCACGGAGAATGACTCGATGACAGAATATGTAGGACTGGAGGAAGGTACTTCTGTATCCTTGTAGCACCCCAAACAAGGGAGGAAGGAGAAGACACATGGGACTAATGAAAAAAAAAAACTTGTGTTGAGTCAGCACACTCTGGAGACAACCTGAGCAAACAGCAGGAAGAGCAACTGGCAGGACTAGGAAGTGGCCACCCCAGGGGAGAGGGGTCAGCAGTGCCCACCTGATCTGTTGAGTGGATGGAAGAATCAAGGTACAAACTCACCTCATAGCATAGCAAAGAGCTTCTGCACAGCAGGCAAGCACAGTTCAAAAAGTGGTCATTGAGAGAGTAAATAATATGATTGTCAGATGCTATTCTGATAGGAAAAGGCCTAGGCAGCCACAACTCCAGAGCTGCCTCATGCTTACAGCTCTGTGATCCCAAGGTGTCAGAGGAACACGGCTGAGGGCTGCTCCTTGGCAAGCTGACCTGGTCTGCTGCTCACCAGGCATCAACTCAGACACTCACCTGTTTCCTTGGGGTTCTGAGTTCCACACAGGAAGGTACTTAAGACAAGACACTGGCTTCTCAGTGCCCTTTTGTTCATGAGCACACAGGCTGCAGCAGCTTTGGCATCCTGGGGTGTCAGCCACAACCTTCTTCATCCCTAATCAGTGAAGCCTGCAAGGTTTCATTACAGACATTGAAGTGAACCATACACGATGAGCACTCGTTCTAACCCTTGATGATCTTCCTGCAATCCTAACTAAGGTACCATCTACAGATTCTTTAGTATCAGTGGTTCACACAGGGCCACATGAGACTTACTCATTTCAGCAGAAAAACCCAGATACACTGCGAACAGAAAAGACGATCTCCCCTGAACATGGACGTAGCATTTGTATGTTAGGGATGCTCAGACCTCACCCTGCTTAGGTTGTATAAAAATTCTTGATCCATAAACTATAATCTTTGAATTGTAAAGATTCTTCTTGTTCTCTTCCAGGACTTAAGGAAAACAGGCACCTGCCACTGCAAATGTCACCATCTTTCCATGTACGCTAATGATGAATACGCACCCTACAAGTTGTTCTATAAAATTCATTACCTGCAGACCCAAGTGAAAGGCTACTTTTAGTGTTGTTACATGTATGACCTTAGCTTATTTTCCACAATATGGAAACCATTAAAACTCAACACCAAATATTGGGAACAAACAGCAGAGGAGGTTCACTCAAAACCCACCAAAAACAAAGTGGCCACTGAGGATTTCCGAGCAATAGCACATACATTATCCTGGACTCAGAGAGAAAATAATGCCACAGTCTCCCACACAGACTCAGCTTTCCAATTATTCCAGATGATTCTGAATATTAGCTATTATAATATTCTAAATTATTTAATGTAAAATTAAATGATCACTATATCTTCCATTCTATCAAAGATGCCAATTTTTCAATTGGCCTCAAATAGTAAAGTCTGCATCTAAAGAGTACGACCAATTCCTCAGGTCTCAGAGATAACATTTACAAGCCCCCTGAGACAATACCCACCATCAGATCCATAATGAAAATATTTTTCATGCACCTTCAAAACTAACTTTTTATTTTTTTAATAGATGTTATAGTTCTAAGAGCCACAATTTTTTTTTTAAAGATTTATTTATTTATTTATTTATACAAGCACTGGGTACAGTCAGAAGCGCCGGAGGGTGAGAGAATTCACCAGAGCCAGAGCGGGGAGCAGAGCAGACAGAAGGACCGAAAGACACTGCTGAGGGGAGCAGCGGGCGGCAGGAGAGGTCTGCATGCCATGTGGGACCCTCCTCCAGTGGCCGGGGAGCAGCCGGGGATCGAACCAGCGCTGCAGAGGCTGCGGGCAGTTTCGCAACCCAGCGCTCAACCGCTGCGCCACGGGGAGGCCCTCCAAACTAACTTTGGAACATCTGTATTAGTATTCTGTAACATTAAATGAGCTCAACAAATAATTATGCTTATTCAACATCAAAACAAACTTTGAGGGCCTCCCTAGTAGACCAGGGCTTAAGTCTCACCATTATCACCACAATGGCCCACAATATGGCCTAAGTTTGATCCCCAGTCAGGGAGCTGACCCACAGAGGGCACAGCAGACCTCTCCTGTATTTACCCACTGCTCCCCTGAGCAGTGTATTTCAGTAGATCCGTCTGTTCTGCTCCCCACTCTGTCACTGGTAAATCCTCTCATCACCCGACACTGCTAGCCTGCACCCCAGGTCTTCTACACAAAAATAAATCTTTAAACAAAAAAAGCAAACTTTGAATTAGAAATTGGTAGAGTTCTTGTATGCATACATAAAAATGCATAAATAAATAAAAATAAAAATAGGAATGTTATAAGAATTATATAAAATAAAATATTAAAAAATAAATCTAGGGCCACCCTGGTGGCACAGGGGGTTGGGGGTTGAGCACCACACTATGAGGGGGTCTGCAGCCCCCACAGCCCCAGTTTGATCCCTGGCCGGCCAGCGGGTGGCCCACCTGGCGAGGCAGACCTCTCTTGTCTCACCCGCTGCTACCTTCAGCTGTGTATTTCAATTGGTCTGCCTGTTCTGTTCCCCGCTCTGTCTCTCGTGAGTCCTCCCACCCCCTTCTTCTCTGGCCTGTGCCCTAGATCTTTTGTGCATAATAAATAAATAAGTGTTTTAAAAAGATAAATAACAAAACACCAATGATTCAAAACAATAAAGCACAGCAATGGTACCATGATCCCAAATGTCAACAGTAATGTCCAGTTTGGGGAGCAAAAGGATCAGAGTGTGGTGGCAGGGAGTACTGGCTACCTCACTGCAGACACATGGATTTACAGCCTGGGGAAGAATTTAGGCAGAAGCCAAGTCATATGTGCTTCCTCTGTAGCTGTTCAATAGCATAATAAAAACTAAACTCCCTATTTTCTACTTACAACTGAGATTCAACAAATGATAGCTATAAGTTTTTGACATTTTTAAAAGACCACAATAAATTTTAAAGAGGCTATGTGTATAGCCCAGTCCCTGGCAGACTGCAGGCATTTAGCTAACCCTTGTTCACTACCTTGAGTGTTCAGCATACTTTCTATCATGGAAAAGAATACACACCCTCCTGTGCTGACATAACTGCTGAAAAAAAATAGTTACATATAAACATCATCATTAAATTAAAGTCCACTTATCCAGATGTGTATACTTTATTAAAAACCAAAGGATTGTTCTCAGAAGTGTCTATAAAGGCACACCCCATCCTGCTTGCTTTGCTTTATCAGATACTGCTTTTCACAAATTGAAGGTGTGTGGCAACCTGGACTGGGCTAAGTCCAGCAGCACCATTTCCCAAAAAAACATATGTTCACCTCATGTCTCGGTGATATCTAATTAGGCTATTTTCTCATTAGACAAAATACTACTGCATACCTAATAGACGACACTATAGAGCAAACAATTTTCATTCACACCAGGAAACCAACAAAAAAGTAATGACTTTATTTATGCAATATTAGGGTTGCTGTAGTATTCTGGAAATGAACCAACAATATCTTCAAGGTGTGCCTGCACCACCTTTTATTTGGTGCAATATAAGTACACCTATTAAAGCAAAGAAATGTATTTTGCTAAGGCTGCTGTTTGGAGCTGGCCCTACCCCCACTATGGCAAACCTAATGAAGATAGGAGGTGATCACAGCTGGTGCTGGGATAGAGAAACGCTTGCCACAATATGTTTAAGAACATGTATCAGGATGAAATAGACCTATTTTTATCTCCAGAGAATTGTTCTGTATTTTTTTTATATCCAAAGGACAATTTAAAAGCGAAGGTAAGTACAGGACAGTGCACAGACACCAGCGGGCAGAAAGAGCTGCAAACGCCAATGGTCTGTGAAAAGAAACACCTGCACAGTCACAGGCAGGCGGGAGCGCTGCCTCGCTCTCCAGGGCATTTTGTTAAAGTAGGACATACATCTTCACACTCAACTTCACATTCGATTCATTGGAATAACAAACATAATCGAGATCGTTTCAGAGAATGGATGTGTGCTCTTCAATACTGAAAATTACTAAGAGCAATGTGCAAGAATCTAAACTTTAGGACTATGTAAATAACCTTTTTAAAATCTAATCACAAAATGATACAAGTTCACTGAAAAACTTGTCAACAGAGGAAACATGAATAACAAAACAATCACCGTGAATACCAACATCCTGAGGACACCAGTCACTGCTTCTAGTGTGTTTCCCACTTGTATAGATGACATAGATCAAATCATTAACAGTCAAAGGGGGGCTCTTATCCTGAATAATACTGCAGGCACTGCTGAGGCATTGCTTTCTTATCAACTGTTCTAGATCTCCAGGAATTCCTTCTGGTAGGTACAGCAGCTAAGTCTGCTGTATGGGAATAATTACAGAAAAGGCTATTTTGAAATGCAGTCTCCTGTGAGTAGCAATCACATTTGGGATTAGAGCTATTTCTAAAACTATTAAGGAAATCATGTGCAACATTAAAGACAGCATATGCATGTAACACAATGATACATTAAACTTTTATTTTAACCTGAGGCTCTTTCCTTATGAAGGAGGAAGTCCAACACCCACAGAGCTGTTCTGAGGATGGACAGGGTTGCCCACACTCCTCCCCTCCCGCTGGCCTTCAGGGGGTTTCCAGATTAGCCTCATTTGACAATCTCTGATTTGGCCAAAAATATGTAGTCCAAAAAATCCCTGACTTTTGTCCTTATTTGTATGATCTTAACACAAGTTCCTGTCTCCTTTGGACCTTAGGATTCTCAACTACGGAGTAGGAATAATGTCTCTACAGTGCCATCAGTGAGATCACATAACTTAAGTAATGGACTTGTTGCACAGGGTCAGGTAATATCCAGCAGGTGCTCAATAAACATCGATTTCTTTCCCCTTCCCTGACCTGTTCAACTTCTCTCCAAAGCAAGCATAAAAGGATTTATGATGGAGGAGGTAATATCAGTTTAACAGATTATAAATATTAAAAAGTTGATTATCGACAAAATGTCCACTCCCCAGGTGAATGAGTGTGGCTTATTCATGCTCTAATACAGGAGAGATCCTCTTAGGGCCAGATATCAGCAGAGAAAAGACCTCAAGAGCTTAGGAATGGGCCCTTCAGTGTCTCAGATGATTTCCCATGAAAGACCTTCCATCCCCATTGGTGATAGCATCCAGCTGTCCTTGCTGTGGGAATCTCGGGGGTGTCCTTTAGTGATAAAGATAGTGATAAAGAGATAGTCACAGGTTTCAATACACTGAAATGGTGACTACAAACCCATTTTTGAAAAGCAGACATTGTAGCCAGAGTGTGGCAGCCGTGTGGCTCTTGGTCACTCAAGGCTCAGGAAAGCCTGGTTCTATTCAAGGGGAGTCTGAAGTCGCCTCATGAGGCAGTTTGTAGGTGTCAAAGTTCCCTCTTCCAGGCTCTGAATGGCCACATCAGCTGCACAACAGGTAAGTGATGCCTCACCCTTCAGACGTGGGCCCAGGCCCAGCACGGGCAGCATCTCAGACCCCGTGAGAAATGCAGAGCCCCAGGCACCACGCAACCTACTGGGTAAGAACCTGCACCCCGGGAGACTGGGACTCGGCTCTGCCCTCCTGCCTGCTGGACCTGCCGTGGGGAGGGGGTGTCAGCCCCAGAAAAGTTTACAATACATTCTCCAAATTATAACCTAAGTCCACAGAGATAAAACACACAGATCAATGGAACAGAACGGAGAGCCCAGAAAACCCATCCGGGGGTTGATCGTTGCAGCAGGGAGGCGCTGGGAGCAAACAGGGGGGATGCACATTCATTCAGGGGCGCCGCGCACCCTCAGGGTCACACTCGGGAATGTTCTGACCCCCATGTTCCCCCAGGACCCCAATGACCCGCGCAGAGCTCTCCACAGCCCGCCCGCCCCGCCCCGGGGCCCCTGACTCACGGCTCGGCCGTCAGCCGCGGGCAGGGAGACGTCCTCGCCCTCCCCTAACCTGCTCAGCGTCTCCCCGCACTTCCCCACCTCCTGTGCTTTGCCCGCGGGCTTCTCCTGCCTCGGCCCGCGGCCTGCTCCGCCTGGGTGGGCGCCGCTGGAGGCCGCGGCTCAGCCACTTCCGCTCCCGCGTCAGCGCGCAGGGACGGGACGTCACGCGCAGGGGGCGGGGCAAGGCCGAGGACATAGAGGCTCGCGGGGGGGGGGGGCGGGGGCGGGGCAGCGGCGGCGCACGCGGCCTGGTGGTGCGGAGGGGCGGTGCGGCCGAGGCGGGACACTGGCGGGCGGAGGCGCCAGGGCCGGCGGGAGGCACAGGGGTTACCGAGTCGCTGCCGAGGGGCGGGTCAGCCGGGTGAGGAGGGGACACAGCCCGGAGAGCCGAGAGCCGTGGGGGGCCGCTCAGAGGGGGAGCAGGAAGCGGGAGTGTGTGGCGTCAGAGCCCTGAAGATGGGGAGATAGAATGACGTGGAGGCAAGAACCCTCTGAAATTGGGATTCTCGCTCATTCGGAGAAGAGAACAAGTCGGTGTCGCCCTTCTGCGGGGACTCTGGATTTAGATATTAGCATTTGGGATATTACATATATGTGTGTGTCTGTATTAAAAAGTTGAATTTTTAAAAAAGATTTATTTATTTATACAAGCACTGGGTACAGTCAGAAGCTGGGGAGGGTGAGAGTATTCACCAGAACCAGAGCGGGGAGTAGAACAGGCAGACCGATGTAATACACTGCTGAGGGGCGCAGCGGGCGGCAGGAGAGGTCTGCGCGCCATATGGGACCCTCGCGCGGTGGCCGGGGATCCAACCGGCGCTGCAGAGGCTGCGGGCAGCCTCGCAGCCCAGCGCTCAACCGCTGCACCACCAGGGCGGCCCACCATAGAATTTTTTTAAAGAAAGCCTTAAAAATTCTGTTGCAGTTATAGAAAAATTTCTAAGGGTGAAAATATTGTCGTCCAGATAGTAAAGCAGATGTGGGAAGAGCAGCGGCATATCAGTTAATGTCAAGTTCACCTTGTTGATGTTTTTTTTGTTTTTACTGAGGGAGGTATCATAAGGGCAATCTATATAAATATTAACCCACCTGTGGAAGGTTCCAGCAATCTAAGGTGGGGTCAGAAAAGATGACCAGTCAGAGGTGGAGCTAGAGAGGATTATCAAACTTAAAAGACCCACCCATTCTGACCCCAAGGCAATAATTTCCACACTCACTCCATCACAAAACATTAAGAAAGAACACGTCTTACCCTGGCAAAATGCAGCTTTTGTTCTTTCAGAGCCTATCTGAGTCTATGCAGACTTCTCTCTTTCCTGCTCTCTTTTCCTCGATCACCTTGCCATGTGCTGATGAAAGGGAACATTACTGAATGATTTGTCAGAGGATCCAAGAATCCCCCCACACTGAACCCCATCACCTGAATTCCATCAATAGGTTTTCAATTTTTAGCTTGAACTAATTTGTCAGTCCAAATGAGCACATTTTGTCAGTACCAGGCTTACACCAGCAGGGGGACATGGGATGATGGTCGCTTCCGCCCAAGGATGAGTCACTTCCGCCCAAGGATGAGTCACTTCCGCCCAAAGCGGAGGCTGATGCAACAGTAACCGGATGTTGCAAATCCACGTAAAGCGCATGTGCAGGCTTTCCAAGAGATAGCCCCTCCCCTAGAATAAAGAGAGTTCCTGCTTCCAGCCAAGGGAGTGCATGCGTCTTTTCATCCCCAGCCCCTCCGCCGTGTTCCTGAACCCCGTCGGCCTGCAGGCAGGACCGGCAAGTGGCGCCCGAACGTGGGACACAAGTACGAGGGATCCTCTGAGGGACCGATCAATCAGTAAGGTAAGGATTAGGTAAGTGATCGGCATCATGGGCAATACCATGTCCAAGGGCCAACTTGTTAGAGCCCTACAACTTCTGCTTAAACATTATGGAACTCCCATTAAGGTTCAGACCCTTCATGATCTAGTCTCAGTCCTCACAAATATCAGCAAATGGTTCTTTCACAGGACACCATCTCAGTAAGAAACTGGGAAAAGGTCAAAGCAGACTTCCTTCTTTACAGGGACCTTTATGGACCCCAAACTATTCCCCCCCGTATTTTTTCTGTGTGGCAGCTAGTCCGTGATGCCCTTAGTGATGGGGGAGCAGCTGCTTATGAACTAGTGGCTGAGGTACTGCACTCTGCAGCTCAGTCCAAAAGCAAAAAGCCTGCCACATACTCGGCCGCAGCAAGCTCAGCCACAGAAACCCCCCCTTCTCAATCCTCAAATCTGGGGGGAGATTCCTCTTCAGACGAGGGGAATGTGGAGGACAATACAGACTATCCACCTCCCTATGATAGACCACCCCCATCAACCAAAAATCGGCGGCATCCCTCCCCCACCACTCTCCCCTCTGCCCCTCCACTCAACTCCCATGGCTCTGACCCAGACCTTCCTGGGCTTATACAGTCCCTAACTTCTGTTCTTTCAAGATTTGTACCCTCCAACTCTGAAAATTCTCGGGAATCCCTTCTGGCCTGCCCGGTCTCAGTTGTTCAAAATGATCAGGGACAGCAGGTCCGGCAACATTCGGCACTGCCTTTCCAAGACCTCAAGCTCTTAAAAGAATCTATCAAAGACTATGGACTTCAGAGCCCTTTTGTTCACCAAATGTTAGACACCTTTGAAACCTTTATTATGACACCCAATGACTGGAAGGACACTTTCCACGCGGTTTTGAGCCCAGGGGATTATCTTTTGTGGAAGGGTCAGTTTACAGAACTCTGTGACCAGTATGCTCAAACCAATATTCAAAGAGGTTTTCCCCAAAAAACTAAAGAAATGTTAACCGGGGAGGGTCCCAATTATAGTACTAATCAGCAACAATGTTTATATAATCCTGCTGTTTTTGCACAAGTAGCCTTGGCAGCAAAATCAGCTTGGAAGGCACTGGGATCCCGGGGACAGCCTCACCAATCCCTTACAAAAATCCTCCAGGGCCCCTCAGAGCCATTTGCTGACTTTGTAGCTCGCCTTCTAACAGCAGCCTCTCGAATTATGGGTGAGGGCGAGCCTACCTCTATACTAGTCAAAAACAATTGGCGTTTGAAAATGCTAACAAATGGTGCCAGGAGGCCATTCGCCCATGGAAGGATAAACAGGATATTTCTGGGTACATACGCTTGTGTAAGGATATTGACGGGGCTACTGTTACAGGCACCATCATGGCGGCGGCTCTGCAGCCATCAGCCCAGCACCCCCACATCCTTTGCAACATGATTCATTGGACAATAGTTAATAATCCCCCTTTCCTTCTGCCAGTTTCCAGAAAGGGGGGTATTCTCCTGTCATTCTTGTCTACCAATTCCACCACTGGACTTCCTTCTATAGTGTCTTTCAATCTGTCGTTCAACAAACAATCCTTTCCTCTTGTTGGTCCAGAACCTTCAGCAATTCCTTTGTTGTCATGTGTTTCCCTAAGGTCGTTATTATGCCTGTCAATGTGTCTGAGTCTTCTTCTCAGGTAATCATCTGAAATCGACAAGCAGGTCCGGCATTGGTTGTTGGCGCCTTGATCTCTGTCTTCTCGACGCTGGCAGCTGCGGCCTCAGTGGTCGGCGGCCTAGATCTATCCAACTTTGTACTCAACGCAGATATCAACAGCCATCTCCAGTCGGACTACTCCAGAGTCTCCAGCACCTTTCTCACACTAAATTCCATCAACAACCATCTCGCAGTTGGACTACTCCAGAGTCTCCAGCACCTTTCTCACACTAAATTCCATCAACAACCATCTCGCAGTTGGACTACTCCAGAGTCTCCAGCACCTTTCTCACACTAAATTCCATTAACAACCATCTCGCAGTCGGATTACTCCAGTTGAATCCACAAGTTTCCTTAATACAGGAAGAAATTGACTTATTGACTTTAACTGCTCATGTTCCTTGCATTCCTACCTATGCCTTCATGTGTGTTACACCTGCCATCCTTTTCAACTATTCCTTTCAAGTTCATACCCTTAATGCCTACCTGCACGGCCTGTGGAACCAAACCTTTCTCAATTTTACTGCACAATTGGCTAATCAAATTCTAACCATTAACAAAATTCTAACCATTAACAACATTCGGTATATAATCCTGATCAGGCCCTCCCCTGGCTTTCAAAGGCCTGGGGACTGACAAAATCCTTGGGGGAAGCACTATCACTCCTAGGTACAATCCTCTTCTGCCTGGAAATCATTTTCTACATCCTGTGGTGCCAGTGGAATAGACGTGGTGCCAGTGGAATAGACGAAAAATCTGCAAGTAGCTTTCCAAAACGTGCGCTATTCTCCATTACAGCCCACTGAAAATCCCAGGGTGTGGACAAACATTGCCCTTGACCACCTGTAGGCCAATGACGGGTAAGATGGTGGTGTACCCGTAGCAACCTAAGACAGCTCCACTACCTTACCTAGGATCCTGGTAGTGGGTGGCTATGACGGGTAAGCACGTGAGTACGACTGCCACAACCTAAGACAGGCCCAGTGTGTGTCCCCCCCCCATCAATAAAGTAAAAACGGGGAGATGTCAGTACCAGGCTTACACCAGCAGGGGGACCTGGGGTGGTGGTCGCTTCCGCCCAAGGATGAGTCACTTCTGCCCAAAGCAGAGGCTGATGCAACAGTAACCGGTGTTGCAAATCCACGTAAAGCGCATGTGCAGGCTTTCTGAGAGATAGCCCCTCCCCTAGAATAAAGAGAGTTCCTGCTTCCAGCCAAGGGAGTGCACGTGTCTTTTCATCCCCAGCCCCTCCGCCGTGTTCCTGAACCCCGTCGGCCTACAGGCAGGACCGGCAACATTTTACCCTTTTTCAATTTTTACTATATTTATTGTTTTAATCAACAAGCTTCATCTAGTTATAGGTAAAAATAAAAAACAGTGAAAATAATAAGGCACTAATTCAAAGCCCAGACCCTTCCAGCCTCAAATACAAGAGGTCTGGGGTCTCCCTCTGGGTGCAAGGGGTTAA